TATATTTCATACATTAGTTAAAGCTTATTTATGTGTTTTGCATACAACATTCTATGTCTTCACAACTTTTATGTTTTGAAATTTCCATGAAATTATAATCTCTAGGTGAAAGAAGTCTTGGTTGTTCCTTATCCACCTTATATGCTATACAAAGTTCCACATATATTTAAAACCATTTTCATAAAACAAGTTTGTTTTTCCAAACATATTTAATTGAAAACTATTGATACTTCAATAAAACATTTCACAAGAATGTTATGAGCATTGTAATTATGATGTTTTGTCATGATGTGGTTTCACTTGGTTTGTGTTCTATTGTTACACATGAAAATATGGTAGATAAAAAAAAGGTAGCAAAAAATGTTACTATCCCAACCCTTTCTTGAAATGTTAAATGTGACTGTACATTTCCAAACAATAGGGAATCCTCAATAGCTTTGGCACTTGAAATTCTTTTAGGCAGGATTAAAGTAAATTAATCTATGAGACCTTTGGCATGGTCAAATACATCAGTCAAAAGGGTTTGACCTCCTAAGTCCAAAACTGTAATTAGATTTGATGGAGCTATGAGCTAAAAGTTTGTACTTGAAAAAACAAATAAACTTGGAGCCATTCTATGAGTTGTTATACTGTGGCTAAAAATATAAAAGATGGATTTAGTAGTCTAGCTCTAAGTAAGCACTGATTGTAACATCAGTTACAAAAATACATGTTTTTCATGTTAAATTATTCTAAGGTCACCAGAATACCCATTCTTTAAGTTACAATGTTCCCAGATCAACAGAATATGCATTTTTTATTTTAAATTGTTCACAGCTAGGTCACCAGAATGCTTTGTTTAGAGATATTTAACATTTGAGTTTCAAATTTGTTACTGTATGCTACATATAGTAATCCATAAATGTTGTTGCTCTATTGTTCATGACAATTTTTTTATAGGACAAAGTGCAAGTCAACTATTTCAATAGCTTTAAAATTTAAATAAGTAAGATTTTATGAAAGTGTATTTTATTTACATTTTTCATTTTTATTCTCAGTGATTTTGAGTTTACTTGTAAAAAAAATAAAATAAAACATCGTAATAAGTTTTATTTGAGAATTATTCTATTTTCTAAGCATTTTACCTATATGACTGTTTTAAGAATAGTAGTCTTATACAGTCATCTAAAGGAAACAAATTACCAGAAAATTTTACATTCATTGTTTGTCGAAAAATAAGAAAAAAAATTTAAAATTTATTATCCATTTCATTTCATGTACAGAAAGCTTCCACTCTTGTTTTTTTTTCAGGTGAAATTACTTGTGAGCCTCCAAACAATAATCTGAATAAATTTGAAGGAACTCTTAAATGGAAGGGTAAAACCTATTCCATTGACAATGAAAAAATGTTGCTTAGGGGCTGTATTTTACGGAATACTCAGTGGTGCTATGGGATGGTGATATTTGCGGGTTGTGACACAAAGCTAATGCAGAACAGTGGGAAAACCATCTTCAAGCGCACAAGTCTGGACCGTTTGTTAAATGTTCTAATAATTGGGGTATGTATTCAACTAGTCAATACTGGTAAATAACTAACTTTCACAGAAAGTAAAAAAAGTATGAAATATTTATATTGAAAAAATTATCAGTCTTTCTGTTTTGTTTTTTTTTTGTATTTTTCTCTGCCCAAAAGTATTTTTAAAGTTTAATTTGAATGTAGGAAATATAAAATTAATCTTACTATTGAGATGTACTTTTAACAATTTAAACAAAAACAATTTTACAAAATATTGTGTCCATCTTTAAAAGCATTCTTTAATTTTATTAAACTAAAGATTTAAAATCTTCCAAATGAAATATCCATATTACAGCTTCTTTTAGCAGTACTGTTTCATGAAGCTCTTGATATCCTAATGCAGAAATAATTTTCAATAATTTTATTCAGTTTGTATATTTTACTACAAAAAACAGTATCACCCTGCACTTAAAATAAGTAAAAGTTTGGTTTTATTTATTGTTATATTTTTTCATAGATTGTTTTCTTCCTGCTCAGCATGTGTCTATTCTGTACTATAGCATGTGGAGTGTGGGAGACCATTACAGGACAGTACTTCACGATTTATCTTCCATGGGCCTCCCACATTCCTGAGGACAACACCACTAGTGGGGCTACTGTTATATCTCTTCTTGTTTTTTTTTCTTATGCAATAGTATTGAATACTGTTGTACCTATTTCTTTGTATGTAAGGTAAGTAAATAGCAAAATTTCAGTTTAATATATAGTATTTTGGCTGTAGAAGAACCACTTTCTTTAAGCTGCATTTTTGTTACTATTGTTAGGTTTAATAAACTGTGCACATAAATAAATGTTTTTACCACACTTGAACTTGATGTTAATGGTTTTGATTCAGGAGGAAATTCAGTTATTAACATCTTTTTATTTATTATAATAAAAAATTTTATACAACTTTGTTTTTGACATTTAAAGGTGGTAACATTTGAAATTATAACAGATTCTTTACACACTTGATGATTCATAAACTTATTAAAATTCATTTCACTTACATATAACTCTCTTAAAATTTTACAATTATAATGTTATTAAATTATTATGTAATTTTCATATAATATCATTTAATGACTAATAAGAATTTGACAGAATAAAAAGTATCTACTTGTATCATAGAACTTGATTTTTGTATTTAGCCTGTTCATCAGTTATAACGTTATTCATGTAATTTTTAGTGTACCTTTTTTTGCATTAGTTTCCAAGTTTGTGTAATTATCTTATATATATATTTTTGCCATGTCATTGTTTCAATTTTATGAAGTGTTTAAATAATTTGAGTACTTTTATTTTGATATTCTATTCTAAATATATATTTTACAATTTGCTATTTTTTTACCATCTGAATTACATTGTATAGGACATAAAGTTAAAGTTATTGTTTATGAACACTAGTTGACAGCTTGGTTTTAATGTAATTTCTTTTTGGCATTACTAATGAAGTATAAGTTCAATTTGATATACTTTACCTTCCTTGCAGTGTGGAAGTTATTCGTTTTGTCCACAGTTTGTGGATTAACTGGGATCAAGACATGTATTATGGAGTGAAGGACACGCCAGCTCAAGCACGGACCACAACTTTAAATGAGGAACTTGGACAGATAGAGTATGTTTTCTCAGACAAAACAGGGACCCTCACCCAAAATATTATGATATTCAAAAAATGTAGTGTTAATGGCCATATTTATGGGGAAATACTTGACCCTGTAACAGAAGAGCCACTGGAAATCACAGAAGTAAGTTTTCATTTTACTTTAGAAAAATTAGTTGACATTACTAGACAACGTAATTCCATATGCTTATATTAAGTGCATGAAACTTAATGTAAATTATAAATAAAATGAAATTTCACTTAAACTTCATTCTTCTTCTTCATAATAGTTGAAATAATAATTTTTTCACACACGCACACACAATTTTGGCATGCCATGTGAAATGAGTGCATTTACTTATAGCTTTCTTCAATAAAAGTAGCTAACAATATACTCATTATTTATGTTTAAAATAATATTTTCATTCAAATAGACTAACAATTTATGAATATTGTCTGAAAAAAAACAAGATGAACAATGTTATCTTACAGAACTAAATTATAAAATTTTCATGAATCTGAACTTTACTGATGACTTAGATTAGATTTCATTATGTATAAATTTATGGCTAAACTGTTTAGTTGAAAAGATGTGTCAAGTGAGTTTAAATAGAAAGAAATATGATCCCAATAAAACTTATAATGTAAAGCTGTCAAGAGGATATAAAACACTGATTATATTGTAATGATTCATCTGTTGGTTCCTTTGTTATCAACTGAGTGACTATATAGATAGTCAAAGTTTATATGGGCAATTTCAAAGATAAACATAACTATTTTAAATATATACTCTCTCGCTGTATGACTATTTGCTGGAGTGCAATAAAATAAACCATAATAAAATGAAGTAATACTCTGTGTGTGTGTGTGTGTGTGTGTGTGTGTGTGTGTATATATATAGAAAGTAAATCTAGGATTTAAACCTATCTATCTTTCACTGTAAGTACTAACATTGGTTTGAGTTTATACATTTGAAAATGCACTAATTGAATTCTGATTCAAATATAATAAACAGTTTTTCCTGTTTTGGTAGGTTACATATATGTCTAAAACATGCATACATTTGAGACTGTTAAATCTAGTATGTGGATATGCTATTTTAATGCTGCATTAGTTTACTCTATTAAGTAATTATTACTGCTGTTATGCTTTAGTGAATGATTAATAACATTTATTTTAATTGTTTTTATTTAAGAATTAACTTAAGTGATAGTTTCAGTAGAATAACTGTTGTGTGCTGTTATTTCTACCTTAGGATATGAAACCTGTTGACCTTTCTGGTAATCCTCTGTATGAACCAAAGTTTAAGTTTTATGATCAAACTCTTCTTGACGATTTGAAGAGTGGAAAGAAGGACGTTTATGAATTTTTTACTCTCTTAGCTATATGTCATACAGTGATGTCTGAATATAAAGAAGGTGAGTGCAAAGTGTCTTTATGTTATTAGGCTTTATTTCTTACTGTAGTATCTGAGTGTAAAGGATCTTAATGTTGGCAGTCAGTATTTCTTAATGTGTATTGTTTGAATGTAAAGTAACTTAATGTTGTCAGGTTTCATTTGTTAGTAACATCAGAGTATAGGGATGAAAGTTTAGTGTAGCTTTATGTTGGCAGTCTGTATTTTTTAATGTATAGTGTCTGAGTGTAAAGGATTTTTATGTTATTAGGCTTTATTTCTTACTGTAATATCTGAGTGTAAAGGATCTTTATGTTATTAGGCTTTATTTCTTACTGTAGTATCTGACTGTAAAGGATCTTAATGTTAGCAGTCTGTATTTCTTAATGTATAGTGTCTGAGTGTAATGGATCTTTGTTATTAGGCTTTATTTCTTACAGTAATATACAAGGAATGTGAGTGTAAGGTTTCTCTGTGTTGTCAGTCATTATTTGCTATTATGATATCCGAGTGTAAAGAAAGTGAATGTAAGGTATCTTATATTGTCAGTCGATTTTTTGGTTTAATATCAGAATATAAAGAGTAACTGCAACGTAACTTAATGTAGACAGCCATTATTTCTTGCTATGATTTTTGATTTATACAGGATGCCAGTTTGAAACATATATTTATTATGATTATCTTTTAGATAAAGATATTATATGTCAACTGTTTTTTAGACTGTTACCTAACAGATAATATTGCTTTAGATTGCTCTTAAATATTAGCTATGGGAAAAAAAGACATATTTAGTTTCTGCAACAGATATAGAAACTTTTGTTTATCCTCACACATGATGACATACGTTACTTTTTACCATTACACAATGATTAGTTTAATCAGTTTAAGCACTGACAATACTGTTACATTTGAAATTTGTGGTACAAAAAATATAATTTTATTAGTTTGTTGTCATTGGCATGTTTATTATCAGCCAAATGTAAGTTTTCATGTTTTCTTGTCATAGATAAGGATTGTTTTTAAGTAAGAGAAGTTACTTTTTTGCTTTATTTATCTATCATTTTATAATTTTATGAAACAATGTTTGATTTTAGAACTTATTGTTATTAAACTATTCCAAATGTTAAAGTAAAAAAGTAATACTCTGACACTGTTTGTTGGTTCTGGTAAGAAAAACAATATTGTTCATGTATATGTTATTATGTTTTTGTATGAAATAATGTTTCATGACAAAGAAGCTCATTCATGTTAACCTACTTAATCACATTATGAAAAAAAATTAAGCAAATATATTCCTACTATAACAATTGCTGTATAGTAGCAGATAAGATATAAAATAAAGTATTAATATTTTCTTTATGCTTTAACTATGTACAGTGCATTCAGTATGTTTTTGTATCACTACTCCCTATGATAAAATTCCCCAAAATGAGAAAAATCATTTTCATGTTAATTATTTTCAAAATATTTTCAGTAGTTTTATTTACTAATAAGTTATTTATGCTCAAATTAATTTTGAAGCATACGTATTTTTATTAATAGTAAACATTTTCTAGGTCGACTAGAATATCAAGCCCAATCTCCAGATGAAGAAGCCCTTACTTCTGCTGCTAGAAATTTTGGTTTTGTGTTTAAAGTAAGTGAAATTAAAATATTTTAAGGTTTTCATGATATGTATTAACTATTTGAAACTTACAGTTTTTGTTTGTTAAATATTTTTACAATATGAAGTTGTTAACATATTAATTAGTTTTGTTTGAGTTGATACTTACTTAATTATGTTGTTTCTAATTATGGAGTCATGACTGGAGACATCAGTCAAACAAGAATTAGTTTAGATCTAGGTTTTTTTTTACTTTTTGTCTGAATTTGTGTATTTGTAAATGAAAATATCTTGAACAGTTTCATATAAAAATGCTACAAATTAGCAGATAAAAAAATGTTTTTGTCATTCAGTTTCTAGCAGAAAAACTCAATTTTTTCAACAGGAACATAGTTCACACTTTTTAAAATTAAATCACTGAAGTTTTTCAAGTCAAAGTTCTTGACATATGTTTATATTAATGAATATAAAGAGGAAAGAATATATCTCTAAAATTAGGAAAAACTTATAACCAAACATGGTTTTAGCTTCTCTTAAAAGTACAAGTTCTACATTTTGCTGAATTATGAAAAACTGGTCTTTGTGAATGCAAATTAGCAATATGTGGTGTTTTTTGTAGTAATCTTTGAAGCAGCATCTGATATCAAAACATTTGACCTTTAGTAAACCAAAATGTTTGGCAATATAAAATTATTGTCTTGACTTTGTTCCATAAATTTAATAGTGTTTTTCTTGTACCAGTTAAGGATAAAATAAGCCAATTAAAAAATAATACTTTTTTCCTTTTTAAAACAATCCAGAGCTTCATTACAAAATAATAAATACATTATTTATTTCATAACATTTGTTATATATAGAAACTAGTATAATAGTAATGGATATACATAAAGATTGAAAATTCCTTGCAGTGTTATATATATATGAAAGCTAGCATAACTTTTCATAAGTGAAATAAATTTGATTGTAATATTTTGTGTTTTAATACAAATAAATGAAAACAGTTGGTAAGTAAGGTGGACCACTGTTGGATACATGTAAGAATTTATCAGATCTATATCATAATTCATTGCATAAAAGTAAAAAAAAAAAAAAGTATCATTATGCACTTTTGTGTAATACTGAAGTAATACGTAGTAACACAAATCTGAATATCTTAATCACTGGATTATTCTAATCATGAAATGGGACATTTGGGAATTTTGTAAATTTGAGAAAAAAATCAAGATTTTACAAATAAAGTTTTGCAGTTTTGTGGTTTCTAGAAGAATTAAAGTAATCAGGAAAATTTCCTATTTTCTTACAAAAAAATTAATGTTGAGATTGATTTAAAATTTCTATAATTCCTTGATTGATAACAGTATTCACTTTCTTTGAAAAATACCTCAAACTGGAGTTATCTGTAGCTTTTGTCTGTACAACAAAGTTTAGTGTTAAAGTGCCTGGAGCTACAGATGCATAAATGTTTGAAGTATTTTTATTTTATTTTAATATATTTTGTGCATTTTTTTTTCTGACCTTATATATAATGATTTTAGTTGTTAAAAGTGTCTTACTACCAAGCACTAGTGGGGTTAACCTTTTAGTTTAGTTGGTAGAACACTCACCTGGTGTGTGAAAAGTCTTGGGTTTAAATCTGAGCCAAAGAAATAATAAAAAATTGGGATTTGCACTAAAAGTCAGCAACCAAACAATGATCATTCCTTGACCCTGAGATAAGGATCCAAGAAGCTTATAGTTTGAATTGCTAAAATGTATCTTACTAACAAGTACTAGTGGGTTAACTCTTTAGTTCAGTTAGTAAAGCACTTACTTGGTGTGCAAAAAAAATCACTAGTAAAATTTTTGCTGAAAAAATAATAAAACGTTGGGTTTTCTACATATTAGTTATATATATACATTATATTTTATTTTGATAAATCTTCATATCTTAACATGAAGCCTCAAGATTTTTGTTCATTCATTATTTCTAACTCTGTTTTCAACTGTGATAAAAAAAAATAACAAGTACAGTTAATATCTCAAAATATGTTAAATAGTCTCATATGGTGTTAAATTGTTATGGTATTTAAAAATCATAATAGTTATCTTTATAGTATAGTATTTTTAAGTGTTACAAAGTTATTTTAGATATTGTTATGTTTTTAAATTTTTGTATGTGTGTGCAACAGCGATAACTTATACTAATCATTAATACTGTATGATGCCAAACAATTTTATTTTATTGCTAACTAGTTTTTTTACTTTTAATAACATTGAAATTTGTCTTCTATTTTCCTATGTTAGTGGAAGATTTTTGAATCTAACAATATAATGTTATAAACAAATACCTTAGGCAAAGAAATAAAAGTGGAGGTGTAGTGAGTTAAACATTTTTTCATTCAAACTGAAGAATGTGTAACTAGTAATTAGTATAGGGTTAAAAGTCACAGACAGCACACAAATGCATTTGGAGACTAGATAGAATGAACACATACACTCTTCACTACTGAATGTGATACTTCTTTAAAAGGAATTGATTTACTGCTCAGCGGATAATTATGTTTAACGAAGTCAGCTTCCTTGTAGTGAAGACATAATACTAAGTCTGTATTGTCCAGTTTACCGTCGGCAGTGTCCTTAAATAATACAACAGTAACTTTAAGTAACCAGATACTTTTACTTAATAGGAATCCCTGATACTGAAAATGTTAAACACATTTCCTAGCTATTGCTTTAGTAGAAAGTTGTCAATTATGAAAACTTAAATGTATTAAAATTCAAACTACTCAGTACAAGCCAGTTATTTAAAAACATTTTTTCCATTTCTCACTAGAAAATATTACTTGTATGGTAAAGGATTCTTTTTTTTTATTTTCTAAAATAATAGAATGCCAAAAAGTATGTTGGAAAAATCAAGCAAAGATATAACCAAACTTTTCTTTATAAGTAGAGTGAATATTTTTTTTATGACTCCTCCTAGGATAAATATTCAAATCAAGTAGGGTACTTATGATTTGGTAATTTTAATTCATAGGGTTGTTTATTAAGGTTTAAGGGATTTCCAAGAAGAGCTAAGTTCCATTTAACACTGTCAACAGAATAGTAAACTAAAATTTAAAATTGCTTTATAAAAAGAAAATATAAGATACCTTTTAAGTCTTGCATCCACCCTCTGGCTAACAGAGAAAAAAATAAAAATTTATTAATTTCTTTGACATCTATGTATGTAGAATCGTACACCAAAAAGCATTACCATTGAAGTGATGGGAAAGGAACAAGTATATGAATTACTGGGGATCCTGGATTTCAACAATGTCCGGAAACGCATGTCTGTAAGTTGAAACATACTTGAACCGGCTTATATTACTGTTATTTCTAATAAGAGATACTAATGCACAACACCTAACAGAAAAAAAAAGAGATGATATAAATACAGCACAGTAGTAGAAACTTGCATTTAAAAAATATCAGGGGGGGGATATTTTTATCATTATATAAATAATTAATTGTGTAATGTTTTGGATTCAATGTCCTTTATCAGGTGAACAAAAATACAGAAAAAATAATCCATTGGATTTATTCCATTATACACATTCCAGATATAGAAAGCATTATAAATCAGAATTGATTAAAAAAGATGAAAGGCCATGCCTTTTTCCAAGTATTCTAATTATTACTTTGTTTTGTTTTTTACTAACTTTTCTGTTTTAATAATGATCTCTATAGAGTATAAGAAAGGTACTTGTTTTCTAATTATTGACTTTTGTATTCTCAGAAATAGATCAAACAGGTGTGACTTTGTTCTTTACAAAAAAGATAATGCAGTGTTTAAAAATTCTTATTTTTGTTACCAAAAATTTAATTTACTGTTGATTTCTCTCTACTGGTATTTTTAATTAATTTTTCTTTTCACCCTTTCAGCCCACAGTGATTCAGTGGTAATCTTGAAGGCTTAGAATGCTAAAATTCAGGATCTGATATCTGTGGTGGGCACAGTGCAGATTGTCTGTTGCATAGCTTTGCACTTGAAAACAAACAAGCTTTTTACCTCTCACCAGTTTTGAAATTTATCATGGTTTTGGTTCTATCATCTAGAACATTCGGCAATTAAGTATAGGTTTTGGTAGAAAATTTATCTTATTATTATTTAGATAGAAACATTTAAGCTTACTTTTCATCCAATAGTAACTGTTTAATCAATCGTCAAAATATACATTTGTAGTAACAAGATATAAATTGCACATTTTATCTCTACTGGTATGTAAAGTTCATTTAACCACTATGACTTAGTCAGATGAATGAAAATTATCAACTGTACTTGTATAGTTCTAACTGGTGTTAAGCCATTTAATATAAATTATATTTTCAGTAGATTTTTTTTACCAAATTAATATTGTAATAAACAAATGCTCAAATTGCCACATTAATATAAGCTACAAAGTAATACTATATCTTATTTTGAATTAGCTTGGTTTTTCATGCTCTGTATTTTGAGCTAAAATAAATAAGAAGTTTTTCCCAGTGATTTTTCACCTCATGGTTATGAGTCAGCCTTTCAGTTAGAAGTAAAAAGTTAACTTTCAGTCCTTATATCATAATGGTTAGTTCAACATGTGAAAGAGCAATAACAAGATGATGGGTTCACCCATCTGAAAGTAAATGAAAAGCAAAAAAAATTTGAGTTTGATGGATCATGTAGAATATTCTGCTTGTTTATAGAACCTTTATTGGTTTGATCCATCTAGTATCTAGTTAACAGATATGAAACTATATGTGAATACATGTAAACATTCATGTAATTTTTATCTTTTGTAGTTTCAATGCTGTGAGCTGCTGCTGTTTACATACCTTATTTAAAACCATCAGAAAACAAGTAGTTAAAACTATTAATATATAATCATTCCCGTTGTTCATCCATATTTGAGGTAGACACCAATGTAATTTTCATTTAAAATAAAATAATAAACTCTTTCAATAATTGAATATTTTACTGCTTGGTTTACAACAGAGAAACACTGTTGTTTATAGTTTTTGTTAGTTAATTTTAAAGCTTTTGTTTTTGTTTTGCATATTTTTCATTTCAGGAAACCCTATATAAAACTCAAGACATAAAAACGTTTATTAAAGAGTTTGGGTTATGTTAGGGTACAAAAACTGGTGGAAATTAGATTAGTTATACTGCATGTGCAAGAAAGTTGAATAGAAAAAAATGATACATTGCTTATTAATAGAGACGCTTAGAACATTATATTTAAATTATTTTGGAGCCTCACCATGTCATTACAGTCTATGTAATCATGTTTGCTCATATGCTATCTGATGACCACACATCTTGACAATAGCCCTTTAGCCTAGTTTCCATTTACAAAAAACTGTTATAAGGTGCCTGACCAGTAAGTATTTAAATGTAATAATATGAATACCAGTTTTATTCTGTAGCTGCTTGAGTTATTGAGTATTTGAATAATACTCAAGTTATTGAAGTTAATTGAGTATGTCATGTAAACAATATGGGTACATGTGACTTGTGTCACTTATCCAGATAGAGATCCTTCTTGATTATTTTGTATACAGTTGTCTGGGCCATGTGGATGACCATTGTCATTTTCTTTTGCATTTGTGGAGCTTACTAGAGTTTGGGTACAACTTTCTGGATGATGTTGGTTCACCAAGTTGATCCACATTCTATTGTTTTCCAATGCCATTAAGTACAATTAAGGGATGTCCCAATATTGGACATCATAAATTACCAATCTGAAGACATCTTTATGATCTAAGCATATGAATATTTTGCATCTGAAATGGCTGTTACATACCCATCCCAAAAGTGATCAATTTTTGGTGGCATCACACTACCTATGAAGTACCAAAAAAATGTCAAGATATAGTTCTTGCACATTCTGATCCATCACAACTTTATACTGGCTGTGGTTGTTACATGATTGACTCAATGATTTGCATGTTCAAAATCATTTTATTATAACATACTCAACCTTGTGAAGTTGATCGATAAAAACTTGTTGATGCTGAGCATATGCCCCCGAATACTCGGTAAAGCTTGAGGATTTATAACATTAAAATTCTGGATTTAATTCTTAAGGTGGGCACAGTACATGCAGGCTAAATGTATAGTTCTTATGAAATAAAAAGCTCTAACTACTCTTTTTAACATTACTATAAAATGTGAAGAAGGAAAGTTTCTAGACCATCTTTTGTAAATTGTGTTCATATCTGTGCACTTTCTTGTGTATCAAGTACGAATATTTATCAATTAAAATTGAAGACATGGCAGTCTATCAAAAAATCTTCTTTATTAAACCTTTTTTTGTAATTTAAAACATATATTTATTCATATGTATCTGCTTATGTACACAAATACCAGTGAACATGTGCTATAAAAATTACTCATTTCAGTTTCAACTTCTGTTAATATATATATATATAATAGGGGTTAAATTGAGTTGGAATAGCATTATACTACTTTTCTAATGAGAAATACTCTAATTTACTTATCTTTCGTGGTTTTACATTGAAACTTGTTTCACAGGTATTAACTTTTGCAGAAACGTGAAATTGAAAATGGATCAGTTTTCCATTACATAAGTTGAGAAAAACGTTTTTAGACATCATTCTGTTTTCTAAGCAACCTTTTTCATACTATAAGCCTTTACAATCATGCTGTGCAACTGAACTGATGTGTTGGTAATCCACCTATTGAAAGCAATGAACTTCTCTGGGCATGGTATGGCAGGCACTGCAGGTACTTAACTAACTACACTTTACGTCTCCTCATTGTTTGCTGTTTCCGGATAAAGTTATTTTCTGCATATAGAATATTGAGAACAGTTACTCAAATGGCTTGGTGGGTATAAAATTACTTTCAATTTTTTAGTAGTGTCAAACAATGAACAGTCACAACTTCATTATGTACCTCTCTCAAAATGTCTTTGTGGAAATGGATATAATCGACCAATCCTCCCAAAACCAGCAACCTCCCAAACCCACAACAGTATGACACAGAACTTGAAGTGCACACCACCCAGGCTGCTAATGACACTGTGCTTCAGGAATGCACTAAAGAATATATTTTATTTGCTTGTGTATATCTGTTTGAGTTTCATTTATCACTCATAAAGGCTTTTTATTTTGTTGAAACTATCATTTATGTACTGAAAAAATAGCGAAAGTTAATTCCACATGAATAATAAGTAACTTAGAGAAGTGTTCTTGGTCTTATACTAAAGAAAAAAAAGTAACAATGGCAATTAGAGAGCAACCAAAAGCAGGACAGTTACAACAATGTTTTAATGATAGATGCGAGTGCAGGATTTTTCGTCATATAGTAAAATATAAATGAAGGTTGGTTGCAAAAATTTAGGGACTATTAGTTTGAGATACCTTTGATTTTCAATATAAATGCAGAACATGACATCTCATAAGAATATCCATAATTAGATTTTCAGGGCTGTAAGAAGTGGTAAGGTCAGTCAGGCCATAGCCTGACCACTTTTTCATGGCATGAATAGTTATAACTTATGTATCACAATTTGCTTCTTTTAATTCAATACATTACATTGTGTATTCAGTGTTTGTGGTAGTTAAAATGGCTCAAGATTTAATATCATAACATTAAATTTTCAAACATTTTCTGGGGGAGCATATACCCAGACCCCCCTAGAAATGGTAATGTGGCAATGGCCTGACAACCTCAAAATTGCTTCCTATGGCAATGATTTTTATTCTATTTATATGCAGTTTGTTTTAAATGTACATAAGTGTAATATTTCTGTGGTGTATTTTGTATAACATTACTTGTGCAACTCTGAAGACCTGCTAACCAATATGAGGACTTCAAAACTTCAATATGTGGTATCAAACTATATACTTCAGTAGCTGTGATTGTTACAGTATTATTATTTTTCAAATAGGCTTTTATTTTAATGTGGTATGCATTTTTGATGTAACTAGTACACTGTTATGTGGTCTATATAAAAGGTCAATTTTTTTGTTTATATAACCACATATTCTTCATACTTTGCAATAGATTTATGATTGCTTTTTCCTTTTTCCCTAATTCTAGGTAATACTTAGAAAAGATGGCCAATTGAAGCTTTATTGTAAAGGTGCTGATTCTGTGATATTTGAACGTCTTAACGCAGACTCATTTGATATGAAAGAAAAAACTATAGACCACCTTAATGTAAGTACTTTCATTTATTTGTTTTAATATTTTCAGTAAATGTTTTTAAAATTGTAATATTAATAATACAGTTACAGTAACTCTTAGGACAGCAATGTTTTTGCTGCAATTTACATATTTCATGTCCATATTTTGAAAAGAAACTATAATAATTTAAATGTGAATAAATGTTGATCAAAAACCTTCAAAACGTTTTTAAATAACTTTTGTGTCATAATATAGAATCAAATTACATAGAAGGAAATTACATGGTGGAACATGTAGATATAGGATACCTAAGCAGGCAAGACATTAAAAATCTTATTTGTTGAAAAGAAACAGATGAAAATTATCTGACACTGATTTTTGCAAATCACACAGTCTAACATGGATTTTTTTCAGTTAGGAAATACATAGTACTTTTTCAGCTATCCTTTCTTTGTCAAGGATATTTCAGTATCTTTTCATTTCATTAGGTGTGGAAAAACAGTTTGGTATGAATTTACAATACCCTTTCTGTTTTCTTTTGATGCCAGAACTTATAAAATTCCAGAAATACATATTTCTTTTGCACCAAAACTCACAATTTTAATTAGATCTGCCACAGAATGTTTCTATTCAATCTCAATGCACATGAAACTCAGTAGATTTGTTTTTCTATTTTAATGACTAATGTAGGGGGCCCCGGCATGGCCAGGTGGTTAGGGCGCTCGACTTGCAATCTGCGGGTCGAGGGTTTCGAATCACCGTCACACCAAACATGCTCGCCCTTTCAGCCGTGGGGGCGTTATAACGTGACGGTCAATCCCACTATTCATTGGTAAAAGAATAGCCCAAGAGTTGGTGGTGATGACTAGCTGCCTTCCCTCTAGTCTTACACTGCTAAATTAGGGATGGCTAGAGCAGATAGTCCTCATGTAGCTTTGCACGAAATTCAAAACAAACAAACAAGACTAATGTAGGGTGACCAGATTTCTAAACCGAAAAACTCGGACAGTCCAGCCTTTGCCCTTAATTTGAAAATAGTTATTACAAATTGGAAATAATTAAACTTTTATTTAATTTACTTTAAATTTGTTGAACTATTAAACCCCAATATTTCGAAATATATTAACATTGGCATTGTTTTTGAAATAATTCCAACTATTTTTTGTGGTGATAGACACAAAAAAAAATTAGTAAAAAATCGATAATTATTCACTTTATCCAATTCATCATGAAATAGGTTACATCGTACTAGGATTTATTCAAAAATCCAAAACATTTTCACACATACTACTTTTATGTTTTAGCATTATTCTGAAACATTTTAGACATATTTTTGTGAAGAATGAATGGAATGTAGAAATTCTTTTTTTTTGTATTAAATAGTTATGAAATTCAGTATATGACTGTGTAAAGTGTGTTTTAATGATGCGTACTGCAATAACTATTTCCACATTCAGACCTGCACAAACCTAAGTTTCTCAACACACACACAGATGGAATGTTTGAGAGAGTTTGGTACTACAACAAGGAGCAATTCAAGTACATCTATTACATTCGTGATTTGATGTGACTGACCATTTGATTTCTTTCTCATAAAACCAGAACATTCTGTGTGTCCCAAGAAAAATTCTCAGGGGACTGGGACAAACTATCAAAACAAATGACTTTTTGGGCAAAACCAGGACACCTGGTTACCCTAGACCAATGTTTTAATAAAATGTGGGTTTTTTAAAATTTCTTTATGTATTAAAAGTAACAGTTACAAATATTGAAATCTATGTATTTGATACACTATTTTTAATGGGAATTGTAATCAATTTGAGTCAAAAATTTCACCATCAAGAGGAACATCATGGGCATATACATACATATATATATATATATATACACACACACACACACAGATGAGGGTTCAACTTGAGTTAAATATATGTATATATAGATGGATTTACAGTTTACTGCTACTTTTGTTACTGTTTTTCTTTTTATGAAAGAAAAACCGATTGATATATACATATATTTAACTCAAGTTGAACCCTCATCTGTGTGTGTGTGTGTGTGTGTGTGTGTGTGTGTGTGTGTATATATATATATATATATATATATATATATATGTATGTATGTATATGCCCATGATGTT